TCAGGCAGGAGGATCACTTGAGCCCAGGAGTTTGAGGTTGCAGTGACCTTTGATGACACCACTGCACTCTAACTGGGACAACACAGTGAGACTCTGTCTCCAAAAAAAAGAAAAGTGTGTGTGTGTATATATACATACTCAAAAAAAAAAAATCTAATTCCTTCTTAAGTACTAAATGAAGAAAGAAAAGACACTTGGAGCAACTATCTTTTTCTCCAGAAAGTTAAATCACAGAAATAAAAATAAAATTTATCTAATACATAAGAATTGGTCATTTTGTGAGTCTGTAAGATATGTTCTACTTGTTCTACAATGTTGTATTACTACTGTCTCTCCTCCAATACACTTTCTGTCACAAAAACTTAACTTTAATCCTGACATCTTCCAAATTATCCTTGCCAGAAGAGACAACAAATCAAGATCTTATATCTAACAATTCTTAACCACCTTAGAGTGGATTATTATTGTTCATAGCTAGTATGCTTTTTCCTACTCAGTACATTTCTAGAATCAAAAAAGGAAAGCTACAGCAATTTTAGATTGACTTTTTTTCTCATTCATTCATTAGGTTCAAGTTTTTTCTTTTCCATAATTACTCTTCTAATAGGATTGATAACTGATAATGATGATACTTGCTAACATTTAAAATCCTTCCATGTACCAGGTGCTATTATAGTCATACATGTTAACTCAACCTTCCCAACAATCCTGTTTGAGACAGATACTGCTTATATCTGCATTTTACAGATGAGATTGCAGAGCTTGTATTCAAATCCAGGGAATCTGACTTAGAGCCTCCACTTTTACTATACTGGACAGCAGGAGGGAAGGCTAAATTATAACAATAATGACTCTAAACAACAAAGCATATCACTTCTGTACAAACAGGGGACTTGAGGTTCTGTTGATCTTGATATATAACCTAATAACCAGACACCGAAAATACTGTATTTTTATATTAGATACACTCACATAAATAATAAATTTTAAGATTCTATTAGTGAAATCTAGTAAAAGGTAAATTTTTAAATACGCTCTCTAAGGGCTTACTTACTAAAGAAGTGGAAGAATGAACGTTATATACTAACTTCATCTAAAAGGACAGTAGCTCAACAAAGCTTTGGACTTAGGAATACTAGTACCTGTGCACTGGATGTGATGTCTTCACGCTGCTGGTCAGTCATTGTTGCTAAGGTATCAAAGGGATCCTTTTCACAAGGATCCAGAAGTCCGGGACTACCTATAGGAATCACAATAAGGAGACAAAAGCATTAGCATTATCTATTTGTAAAAGAAGAGCTCTTATTCAGACATCAAACAAGCAAACATTTTACTTCATTAAAAAAAAGGTAAAACTTACCTTTAAGAATAATCCCTGAAGAAATGCATTCAAAAACTCTTCTCAGCGCATCCCCAGGGCTCTGAGGACTAGAAGCACTACTGATTGCTTTCTCTACTAATAACTCCATAGCCTAAAAACATAAATATATGTTTAACAGCTTACACGCCAAAAGAATGACTCATTTTCAAACACCACAATGACAAATTATGAAGTAATCATTAAAAATTTTAAAGAAGGAAAAAGTTACATATAACAAGTTACATATAACTATAAAAACATTCTGGCCAGCCGAGGTGGCTCATGCCTATAATCCTAGCACTCTGGGTGGCCAAGTCCAGAGGACTGCTTAAGCTCAGGAGTTGGTGACCGGCCTGATAAAGAGTGAGACCCCGTCTCTACTAAAAATAGAAAAATTGGCTGCACCCGTAGTCCCAGCTACTAGACAGGGTGAGGCAGGAAGGCTGCTGACGCACAGGAGTTTGAGGTTGCAGTGAGCTATGATGAGATTCTAGCTGGGGTGACAGATGAGATACTGTCTAAATAAATAAATAAATACATTTTGAAAAGATTCTGCAATTTGTGCTTAATGAAGAAAAATACAAGAGTAACAAATTTAATTACTGCTATCCTTTACTATTAAAATATGACAGCTCTTAAAATTCTTTAGATTATGAGGCTTCTCATTTAAAAATAATTGTTCAGATATTTAGGGCTCACATACATTTGTTTTCTGATACCTATAAACCAGCAGTGCCCAACCTTTTTGGCACCAGGGAATGGTTTCGTGGAAGACAATTTTTCCATGGATGGGGTGGGGGGCTCAGACAGTGATGCCAGGGATAGGGAGGAGAGTGGTTGTAAAATGAAGCTTTGCTCACCACCCCCCTCCTAAGTTTCATGGAAGACAATTTTTCCCAGGGGCGGGGCGGGGGGTGGAAAGAGTTCTGTAGCCTGGTCCCTTACAGGCTGAGGCCCAGGGGTTGGGGCCACAGCTACAGACTGATGATGCTAAGGAGTTACAGCAGAACAAGAGTCTACTAAGTAAAAAAGACTTTTGTCTTTTCTTTATAAACAACGAGTATTATCTAAATTTTCATTTGACATAACTAGACTTCTAGTACCCCTAAGGAAAATACAAATTATGCTTTCACTATAAATTATATTTGAGAGACTCAAATTCTAAACCAATGAATAAAAGACAAAAGTAAAAGTATAAATTTAGAAAGCAGCCAACCCATTATTTTGAAGGGTCTATTAGCAAAACTTATTTTCATTTAGATTTTTAAAAACTGAAATATCATTCACATAAGATTCATCTTCTTAAAGTATACAATTCTGTGGATTATTTGGTATACTTACAAAGTTGTTCAACTGTCACCATTATCTAATTCCGGAACATTCTTATCATCTCCAAAAGAAACCCCCACAGCCATTAGCAGTCATTCTTCACTCCTCTAATGCCTTGCAACCACCAAACCTCTTTCAATTTCTATAGATTTGCCTACTCTGGACATTTTATACAAATGGACCCATACAAAAATGTGGCTTTTTGTGGCTTCTTTCACTTAGCGTTATGTTTAAGGTTCATCTATGCTATAGCTTTTGCTTACATTTTAAATAAGACTACCAAGAGCAATTCAAAGAAACTAAATAGTTTGGAACCACAATGAAATCCTCAAGATGACAACAGAAGCTGAGAAGACATTAGTGAGAATCCATTTTTAGTTATACACTAAAAAAGCTCGTAGACTTAACTAAGGGGTAAAAACTATGTCAATCTATTCACTCCAAGGCCATTTCTCAGTATTGCTTAAATAAGACTAATTCTAAAAAGTTTGGACATATGGATATTGTAGTCTCAAACAAAAGAGGAATACATTTTAAGAGAGATGGGAATTTAAAGAAACAGTACACATACACAGCTATGAAAAATGACAGGTAGCAGCATGAGAGACTGAAAAAACCCCTGAAAATAATGGATGCTCATATGATAAATGCAATGAAAAAGATGAAGATGATTCAGTTTATTCAGCTGAAGAATGCAGGAAGATGTTCCAGACATTATTTTAAGGAATAAGCTTCAGTCATCTAGAAAATTCTATGTATGTGTACAGAATATCTCTCATATTTTAAGATGCCAAAAGACTGAGATCCTAGAGGATAAGGCCATTGCCATTTATTTATTCTGAACTTCCTTGCACAGCACGAGTGGCCAGCATATAGTAAATACTCAGTAAATGTTTATGAAATGAAATAATTTGAGAATAACTCTGACAATTCAGTGATAAAATCGAGGATGATAATTAATAAAATATTGATGCTGTGCTTAAAATACAAAATTGAAGTCATAAAATATGCAACTTTCCATAAATGCCTCAAATTTTTACTGAGTATTTTTAGAGAATGTTATGAGAGAAGAAATAATCAGCTATAATTTAGGTTATGTCAA